TGCTGAGGTAATTTGCCTTCTAATTGTCTATTCCTGAGATGTTCACAGCAGAAAGGGCTGAAGAGTGTTTCTCCTCCCATGGGATGATCAGACTCCTCTGAATTCCAGTATGTTGATGGCAAGCTTAGCTTTCCTGGGTGACCATGTTCCCCCATGAACTGTGAGGGATTGGAACACTCTCCTCAGTCTGTGAGGATGCTTTCTTCTGTTATTACTCTCCATGGATGTGGTAGAAACAATTTCCCCATTTTACAATATTTCACCCAAAACGATCATGTCTACTACCTGCCAGACTTATGAAATATCAAAGTCTCTGCTATATTTGGCTCTCGAAGTTTGATAAATCTGAGCAGTTTATAGAAAGCAATGATTTTCAGTGAAAATGCTTAAAATATCTTGAATATTGAAGCCATTGAATCCCAAAGAATGAAAGTTTCATAATATACAGCAATGCAGTGAAAAATGATAGCATAACCAGTGAATGAAAATTTCAGCTTGGATCTCAATAAAACCTTTTGCCTGAGACTTCAAAGCAGAAATAACTCTTCAGCAAGCAGTTTGAAAACATGAATAATTTATTCTAAATATGTACATTGTCACATGAATAAAAGTGTGGAGTTGAAACAGCTTTCATACAAAGTGAACATTCTTACAATTATGTATAAGCCCTTGCAACTTGTTTATGACTAGATTCGCTTCAGTCATAATACTTCTGTTTTTCTGAAAGTGTAGTAAGGTAAGGTATCATCAGTTAATGTAGAACTACAGGCAAACCCCATAATTTTTTTTTTCTTTGAGTAGTGAAAGGTTAGAACCCTACGTCAGTGTTTTTTTTTTTTTTTTTTTTTTGTAGATTCACTCTCTACATATATTCTGATAACCATTCTACCTGGAGTAAAGTAGAATAAAAATTAGGGTGAATCACTGCCACCATAACATGAACAAAAAGCTTCCAATAGGGGCAACTGTTCCCATGACAACTGTCTAAGAGATCATTTCATTAACACTTGAAAGATATACTCTAGCTTCCTATTGAGTCTATAGGACAAGAAGTATAGGGACATTTCCCTAATGAGACATTAATGGTATAAAGAAAAAAAAGTTTTAGCTTTATATACTGTATACTTTAAGTCAATATTTTATAATGATGACTGCATGAAAGCCAATGATAAATTCACTCCCTTGAATGGATCTCTCAGCACCACATATAATTAATTATTATATACTTTGCATATGGTGCTGGTATTCTTATACCACATTGCCAAATAATTTACCATAACTATAAATAATTGTTTTTAAGAGGTCCTGAGATACAGATTTACAATACATTAAATGTGACACGAACATGTAGAAAAAAAAAGCAATGTTCTCAACTACATCTCTATAACTGAACTCCAGCAAAGCAGATAAGTACACATTTGAAATGAAAACCAACCGAGGAATTTGCAATTCTGTGCTGCCAGTTTTGAGATCCACCCACCCCTGCCAGACAGCATTGGCCAGTCTGTTTACATTACTGCAGCATCAATAGCAGAGCTGGTTGGATATTGGAGCAGCAGCACATGTGCATGCAGTTGATCCTCAATGGCTCCTAGTACTGGCCTTATCTTCCACACAGGAGTTTGCAGAGGTTGATAAATTAAATAATTTAAGAACCGTTTTAGTTTGTTTTAATATCTGTCTGGATTTTGGTTCACACTTTGGAAGCCATAGGTTCATTGATTTTAAAGGAATTTTACATATTTCAAATATGCTGTATGTATGAATATATTTTTATGTGGTCCATGGAATGTTACATGCAAGAAGTCACCCAATATTGTAAATTGCCTTAGTTTCAAACTTCAACCTGGTGTAATAAGAAATAACAATATCCTTTACTACATAACACATAAGGGGGTTGATTTACTAAAACCAAGTTTCCAGGTTTTTTGTCAAAGCTTAATTGAACAAACTGAAGTTAGAAGCTGATTACTATGCAGAGCTGCACCAGATTTTGCATTCCAATTTTAGTAAATCAACCCTAGTGTGTCACAGCTCAATTTGGAGTCCCATGAGTTGTATGAAAGCACACTGCTGGCTGAGATATATTAATTTTACATGTGAACACGCAAATTACTGTGATATATCTGTATATTTAGTAAAGGGATGGATTCTTAAAAAGTATCACTAATTATTTACATTATTAAGTAGTACTTTGCTTTTTTCTTGTTATGGACAAATGCAAGATATGCATAACAAATTCATTTTTATAACAGAAAAGCATTTCAGAGGTAGAAATGTAGAAATATATTTGAGACATCTTCAGAAATTTTTTAAAAACTCAAAGATCTTATGCCCAGCTTATGCCTTTTTTTTTGCTGGAAAGATTTGACTCAGGGGCCATAGGTTCAGTCTTTTGAAGAGAAACATGTATATTATAAGAAATAATTTATCACCTAATGTAAAATAAAGGCAAATAAAAGCTCTGGACTCTTATGACCTAAAATCTGGTGCTTGAATGTGGTAATGAACCCTTTCATTGCCCAAATACACTTTTGTAACACAGCGGAACATATCTCAGGACCTGAGCATGCATTCTAATAGGTAGAAGTAACTATTGCTTAAACTTCAGGATTTGGCCATTTATTGCAATGGATAAAATAAAAAAAATGTAAATTGTAACACACAAGTCAATTAAAACACTTTATATAGTCCAAAAAGAAAAAAAAATATATATATCTTACGAGGACATCCTTAAACCAGCCCAAAGTGATCCCCAGGTAAATAAGTCCACACATTGATGAAGTGAAAAGATAAGTTGCACAAAGAAAATCAAGGAAACCGGAAAATAATATGAGCATGCATCATAACAGCTGAATGGATAGCACACACAATATTATAGACCAATGCATGGTTACTACAACACGTTGAAAAATGCAGAACGGTAAGTTTGACAATTATCAAAACATTGGCTTGTCTATTTTGCGTCAATTAAATTATAGTGCATACCTGGAAGTTTTAAAGCAGCATTGTTATCACATATCTGTTTTACTGCCATTGCCCTTTTTATGATGTACACAAATTACAGCAAATTTCTGCTTGGATTTTCCCCTCCGTGGCACAATATGTTTAATCTAAAAGCTCATGCATATGGGGACAGAGGGCCATTCCGTGTCAAAAAAAGGCTATATTTTTGTGTATTTTAGAAGTGTTGCATGCAAATGGTAGTAGAGATCAAGAACAGGATTCAGCTATACACTAGTAAAAACAGATTTGAGATTGTCTGCATCCAGGGGTGTACATCTGTATGCATGTATATGCTCAAATCTGCTTTAACCAGCTTCATCTTGTTGTTGATTTGTACAGACAGCTGTGACTACCAGGCACAAAACTACATCCTTTTTTTACACCGTATGAACATCTGTGCCCGTATGCACGAGAACTAAGAAAGGACAATTTCTATTAAATATTGCACCTGTCATTTTTTTAGCATTTTTTTTTCAGGCTTACTGAAAGGGAACCTGTCAGACCAGAGATAGAAGATTCCCGGATTGTTTTTAAAGGTACACGCAGCAGGGCTGCCATCTTTAGTCTTGCTTCACTATAAAGAGCTGGAGTGCAGGAAAGCAGCTACAGACACAGGTGGACTACATAAATGGGAATTGTTGTATCTTTGCAGGCACTTTGACCTTGGACCAGAACACTGGTTACACACATACCTGCCAGTTGTTTGAACAATGAAGGGTGAAGCAGGCATATTGAAGAGCTCATCCTATGGAGGACTCTGCTCTTTATTTCAGTTAGCATGTCCACTGTAAGCACACATATACAGCAACCAACAGCTTGAGTCCAAATGGCTCAGAGGCTTTATTTCTCTCTCCAAGTCTAAGTGCTGCTGTAAGAGGCCAAAAAAAAGACAAAAAAATATAGGTACTTAACTGAGATGCATTTTAAAATGCACTTCTTTTTCAAATGATAGATAACTGCATAATTTGATTTTTTTTTATATATCTGCCTGTAGTTCAGATTTATGGAGGCACTGAGCCACAACAAGCAACGTTTTTATGGCTCAGTAACACACCCATATACTAAAGCAATGGTGAGGATGCCGATGCTTGCAACATTTAACACTTAATATTTTGTATCTGGTAAGAGAACTCTGGACGTCGTTTGCAATAATCTCATGGATAAGTAGCAAATTATGTCAATGCATTTGATTACAAAAGAGAAAAATCATCAGAAAAAAAAAAGCTACAGCAAGAATATTTAGAGTGTAAATCACCAAGCTGATGAAGCAATCACTATGCAAGAAGTTACAAAGCATTTTTTCAAGGAAGGAGCAAAAAATAAAAAACAAAACAAAACATGGCTTCCATCTGGTCCTCACATTCAAAAGAGACTGATGAAACGAAAAATACTGTTGCCCACAACTGTCGGCAAGCTTCTCACTTTCATTTCTGCAGTATAGTTAAGAGGAATCAAAGGAAGACATTCATGGTTACCCCTGGAAATAAGGACAGTTCCATTAAACACTTTCAGTCCTGAGGCCATCTGCAGAATACCAAAATGATAAAAATAATCATTTCAGTCAGCAGAAATATATAATTAGCCCAATGATTTGAAAAACAAGCAAACATCAAATCTTTTACTCTATCAGTACTTGCAACAGGAGCTTTTCACCTGGATCTGGGGCATTTACAAATATGAATGTGGAACATAAAAAAAGACAACATTTTAGGTCATTCCAAATAATGCCAATGCTACCTTTGAGAACCAAAGTAGCATTTCGGTGACACTGAAGGATATGTTAAAACAGTGCATGCACTGAACATCTGTAGAGGACTATGAAGAAGTAGTTTAGTAACAATTCCATAGAAAAACCTCTAGGGAGACGAAGCTGAAAGGTATCAGCTACCTCTTGGATGCACTCCCCTTCTCCTGTTTGGATAACAAACAGTTCAAATGACATTCTTTTCATCACTCAAAAACTTTATATACAACAGTGCAAAGGAAGTTGGCATTCATATTATTGTCACATTTGATGTCTTTGTATTTTCTTCTGGACAGTGATTACTAGTCAGTTCTTTTATAAACTGTTCAAGTGCAGCAAAGTACCCTTGGCACTGCCAGGTATCGTTATGAGTTCCGTCAGGAAAGATGGCCAATCTTTTAGTCCGCGATGGGGAGAGTTCATAGAGCTGTTTCATCATGAAAGGAGGAATTAACTGGTCTGATAAACCAGAGATAAACAATGAAGGCATTCGGCACTGAGAGATTTTCCTGTAAGACAAGAACTTATTCTTGTAGCACCATAACGGAAGATAGCGCATGGGAAGAAAAGAAAAAACAGGGTGCTGGCCATATGAGGAATGCTAAGAAAAGTATTTTCTAACATGATTGCTGAAATCCTGTGTGCGTTTTCTGAGGCCAAATGAATAGCAACTGCTCCCCCTAGTGACCGTCCAAACAATACAATCTTGGTTTTATCTATGTCAGGTCTTGTCATGACATAGTCAAGCACAGCTTCAGAGTCGAGGTAAAGGCCATCTTCACTTGGCTCTCCTTCGCTTTTTCCATACCCTCTGTAGTCAACTAAAAGCAAGTTCACCTTAAGATTGACCAGCATTAGCAATGCATTGGGTAACCTATGACCAATATTTCCTGCATTACCATGAAAATAAATTATAGTTGGAGAAAAGCTTGAGTTATCACCCGTGTATCTCAGAAGGATAAGATTGAGATGTATGCCGTCTTTTGTTTTAATGAATATATTTTCATGTGGCATTCCTGTGGGCATTGGGACATAAAGTCGTGATGAGGAAGGCTGATCAGGAAAGTACAGCAAAACATCCTGAAATTTAAACAGTATTCCAGCTATGGAGACAAATATTAAGAGCAGCAAAATAATACCACCATACATATTAAAAGTTAATATTAATGGCAGAAGACATATCCTACACAGTCCCCATGACCAGGATCCCAAAGTTAGTAGCCATTTCTCTGCACAAGCCCAAAACACCCAGTGTTTTTCCATCTCTTTCTTCAATAGTTTACCTGTAATACATAAAAAAAAAAAAAAAATTAGAATAGGACGACAACCTATATAATCACATTTACTTAGGACTTATTGTAAGCCCTTGTGTGTATGTACATGAGAAGAAATGCATCATGTACACTCACATACTCTTACAAATAAAGACATACCTCTTATTTGCAATTTAAGTTCTCTGATCTGGACCTTCGGGTCTCCTCCACAGAAGCTGTGGAGTTGTTTTCAGCCACTCTACCTCCCCCTCCTCTCTTCCTATTCAATTACAGAGCAGTTTGTATTTTGCAAATGGGTTGAGATAACACTAAGTATTCTGTGAATGGACAGCAAAGAGGAAGAAATGACAGAGTGGCTGCTTGTCTCACAATCAATGAACTTCTTCCATCTAGAATTGGAAATGTAAAAAATAAAAATATTTGGCGGTTTATGGGCAGAAATTTTGATTGTGAGAATATGGGAGTAAATCAATGCCTTCTAAAAAGTGAATACCCATACTAAAGAGCAACACAATAGTGGGCACTTGTAAAACTCATACAAGAATAATAATAATAAATGCATGCATACTGATAAAAAAAAAAATTACATTTCAATCAGTGGATCATGAGTGCAATGCTCTGGCTCCTGCAGACTCTTTCTAAAACTGAAGATATGGACTGTCAGTTATGAAGCTGGAGGAAGTATCAATGAAAAAGTGCCATGACATCGCCACACTTGTGTCGTGACAGATGGGACCTGCAGTTTTTTCATTCACACATACCTTTGAATGAATGATGTGGCTGGGCGGGTCAAACCATGTCAAATTTAAATAATGACAGATTACTGCAGTTGGAAAGAACCCCTGGATTCCTTAGGTGGGAAGGGAAGCTGCAGACTGTAATCCATGTTTCATGTTACACCCTAAATATGGGTGTAATATGAAACACTAACAGAAAGATGGACTTTTTCTTTTGAAGGGAAACGATAAGGTTTGGGGTCAACTGAATGCATTTGATACACAGCAAAGTATTTCTAAGGCACTCATGCACTTGTGTATGTAAGCATTGGATTTTACAACAAAGGAGCAAAGAAAAAAGATGAAAAGCATAGTAAGAATTACCGGTAACTCTATTGGCAGTAGTCTTCCAGGGCAGCTCCTGAGACAAGAGCTCCACCCACTGAGACAGAAAATACATGGCCACCTAGAGTTAAAAAGGATGCCTTCCAGGTGCTCAACTCGAGAACTGAAGGATGCACTACAAAAACAAACAAAATACAGATCAGAAGCATTAAACACCAGAAGTGGGTGGGAATCCAGCTGCCCTGGAAGACTACAGGAAAGAGTTACTGGTAAGTCTAACTCTGGTTTTCCCAATTCGTCTTCCAGGACAGTCCATGAGACGATAAGCAAGAACTCACCAGGTTAGATAGGACTACCGCCTGAAGAATCTACCAAACATTTTGTCTCGACTTGATAGTAAATCCAACCGGTAATGCTTCACAAAAGTAAAAAATGAGAATCATGTAGCTGCTTTACATATTTGTTCAGGCATTGCACCAGCTCTCTGCCACGAGGTTGCCAAGGTCCTTGTGGAATGAGCATTAACTAAAAGGCAGAGAACTATGCATAATTTCATAAGCTTCATAAATAGCCTCTTGGATCCATCTAAGGATAGAATATTTCAAAGCCTGATTTTGTTTGTGACTGCACGTAAAGAGAAAAAAGAGCCTCAGATTTACTGAATAACTTTCAAACAAGCCAAAAGGCATCTCCTCACTTGGAGGAGGTTGAAGTTTCTTTCTCCACTACTAGCTAGATTGTAGAAAAGTAGGCAACAAAATGGGGGAGCTTTACTAAAAGTGATGCACACAGAATCTGGTGCAGCTATGTATAACCAATCAGCTTCTAGGTTTTATTGTCAAAGCTTAATTGGGCAAGCTGAAGTTAGAAGTACAGCTGCACCAGATTCTTTGTGAACCAGTTTTAGTAAATCTACCCTAATATCTTGAGTCCTATAAAAGGAAGTTGCAGCTTTGGGTAAAAATCCAGGATCTGTTTTAAAGGATAAGTTCACCTTTTTACAAACAATAATACATGTACATTTTCTTGCAGGTAAAAAAAAAAAAAAAAAAGTTCATTTATTTTTTGTTGCAGGAGCCTGTAAACCATTGCAAGCACAGCAGATTGCTGGTGTCAGGGTCTCCTGCAGACCTGTCGGGATGTACGGCCAAGCTATAAGTGGACAGCCGCAAAGGCTGTCAGGATTAGTAGTTTCTCATTCACAGAACACAGTGAATGAGTGACGTGGCCGGGTGGGCAAAGCCCCGCTTTGCCGTTTTTTTTTTTTTTTTTTTTTTTTTTTAATTTGACAGCTAAAGAGGGGGGGGGGGGGGGGTGTGGGGGAGAATATCCCCCACTAGCTGTCAAAGAGGAGGAGTGGGGGCCAGTCTGATCATAACATGTTACATCCTGAATATGTAACATGTAATATGTTATGAAAGGTGAACCTACCCTTTAATTACAATTCTGTCATCAAAAACAGAAAGAAAGCATTCCCTGATAAAAAGTGCCTGCAGCTAAAAGACTCTGCAAGCTGATGTAATGGCAATTAAGAAGGTGTTTTTTACCGTAGGAAGTCTGATTGAAGTCTCTTCCAAAGGTTCACAGGGTGCATAGACAATGCCCTGAAGAACTAGGCTCAGATCCCAAGTTGGAGAAGCCCTAGAAGTTACGGATCTGAATATGGATATGTCTTTAAAAATCTTGCAACTGTAGGATCCTCAAAAAAGTATTTCTGAAGAAATACACTTAAAGCTGCAGCTTGAATTTTCAGCGTACCGAGAGCTAAACCCTGATCAGCAGCACCCTCTTGAAAATTTTTCAAAATGAACACCGTTAGCTGAGGTCTTCTCATGTTCACTCATCCATGAATTAAGTCATTTCCAAATATTTACTATCTTTCTGCTCTAGTGAAGAGCTTGCAAATGTTTAGCAGAATACAGACTACTCTCAGAAAACACTATGGATTTCAAAATCTGCTATTCAAAAACCATGCTGTAAAACTCAGTGAGGAGATTTGGGGATACAGGGTTGGCCCCTGGGAGATCAGGTCTGGTCTCACTAGCAGAATCAGAAAAGATGCAAAGGATAGAGACTGTGGAAGGGAGAAACACAGCCTTTTGCCCAAAAGGTCGCAATCAGATTTAGATTTGTATCTTCCTGTGTAAACTTCTGCATAAATTCTGGAAGAGGCTGAACGGGGGAAAGCCGTAACAGAGTTTGAATCTCCAGAGACTGGCTACAGCATCTATTGCCACTGCTGAATCCCATGGGTTTAGTAAAAACAAACTGTCTCCTGTTTACCTGAGAAGCAAAAAGACCTATCCTTGGCTGACCCCACACTGCTGTTACAGAAGAGAATACTTCCTGATTTAAGAACCATTCGTCCTGTCGCACCTGGTGACAGCTGAGAAACTCTGCCAAAGTATTCTGAGCCCCTTCCAGGTGTATTGCAGATATTAAAACCAGATTGTCCTCCGCCCAAGACAGAAATCTCTCCACTACCTTCTGCAAAGCTGGACTCCTTGCTTCTCCATGCTTATTCACATAAGCAACAGTTGTGATGCTGGCAGAAAGTATCTGAAGATTTTGACCTCTGACACACTCGGAAGATGTCTAGAGCTCAGGTTATAGCCATTAGCTCCCTCCAGTATGAAAAGACTTTGGCCTCTCTCCTGGAAAGCTTGCCCTGTGTTACTTTGCGTCCTAGATGAGCTCTCCAGGCCCAGGAGCTTGCATCATTTTTACAGAAATGGGCCAGAACCGGACTAGATCCCTTGAGAGAGGAGTCTGGAATCTCCACCACCAGAGGATGTGTTTTTACTCTGGTCAGGACATAAACCAGGCAATCCAAAAAATCCCAAACTTTCAGCAGGAACAGCTGAAGGGGGTCTTTGAAGCAGACATGTCCAAGGCACTGCTGGATTGCAAGATGTCATAAAATCAAGAGCCATCATGACCTTCCTTACTGAGACTAAGCAGTCCATCTGAAGCTCTGCCGCTTCCTGACTCATCTTGAGTGTCTTGTCATCAGTAGGAAAACCTTCTGTTTCAAGGAATCTCTGCTGTAACCTAAAACCCACACTACCTAAGACAGAACGAGGAATGAATTGTCAACATTTTGAGCGACAAAGTCTCTCAACAAAGACATACGGCCCTGGCCTTTACAAGATCCTTGAGAAGCCTTGTTACCAAGAAGCTTGAGGGTGGCCAGGGATTAGAATTCCAGCTTGTATCCTCTCTTGATTAAGTCCTGAAAGAATCCTTTGTAGGTGACCAATTTGCATTTTAAAAAGGAAGCCTTCGAGCCTTCCTCCCAATCTGAGTATAGAGTCACTGCTGCTTGGTGTGGTTGTAGGATTGTCCCGTTCTTCCTTTCTGGAAAGGCGATCTGCCTGTCAACCGTATCTTCAAGAACTGCTTACAACTTGGGGCCAAAGAGCTGATCTCCAGAAAAAGGGAGACTACATAGCCTAAGCTTGGAGGCAGAATCCCCTGAGCAGGTTTTAAGCTAGAGGGCATGTCTAGCTGAAATGATCAAGGTTGTAGATCTGGCTGACATTTTATTTAGCTGATACATCTGTTATAAATCCTACAGCTTTAAAAAGCATGGGGAAAGATTAAAAGAGCTGTTCCCTAAGAATACCAGCTGCAAGATGTAACTGCAGCTGTGTAAGCCAAAATTCTAAGTTTCTAGCCACACAAGTAGTTGCCAGTGCAGGCTTGAGATTAAAAATAGTGGAATCCCTGGCTCTTCAAATAATGTCCCTTCTTGTGTCCATGGCATCCTTGAGGACTCCCATATTCAAGAGAAGCAATGGATTATCATAGAAGGAAAACCTTAATTTCAAGCTATTAGAGAAAAAAGGCTTCTCCAGCTAGTCCACTCTTGAATTATAGAATCTGTCATGGTGTTTTGTACAAGAAAAACCCTAGACCTTTTCTTATG